AGCACGGGAAGAGGACAAGTCCTGCTTCCAAGTTCGAACAAACGTCGAAGACAGATCCGGTATTCAGAGTCGTTGCTTATTCTTAAGATCGTTTTAAGAATTTGTTATCCTTGTCTGTCCCATATTTTCAGTCCTTGTCTTGTACAGGGAATAGGGACTTAAGCAAATGCTTAAGACGATCTTAAGAATAAACAACGACTCTGAATCGAGTCTGACATCTCTGTAAACATTACCTCATAAGATTAGACACAAAGAGCTAGGAATAGACTCGTAAAGCGATATTCGTTAGGCTGAATCTAAATAAACACCATTATCGCTCGATTTGTCGCCTCGATCCGAGTGGTGCCTGAGACACACCTCTCGGGCGCAAAGAGTTAACGTATAAAGTACAAATAAGCTTTCTGATTGACATACTCATCAACACCCAGCAAAAATTATTGTATCGATCTAATTCTGCTGGATACTCTCCTATGTTGTGGGTACTCACTAAGCGAGAAGTTTTCGAAATATTTCTATTGTGCGAGGAAATGGGTTAAAATGTGTATTTCTGTGTTTTGTAATATGATAGGAATTTAACTTGAGGACACATTTAACTGGTTCTGGTGACAAAATGTTACTTCATAAGAATATTAAAAACGAATTTCTGAATTTTTACCATTTCCAAGTTCAGTTCCTGCGAAGACATGTGTAGTAACGTCGAGCAGTTGTATTTGGTATTCACGTCTACTTTCTTGGGCAGCAACAATATCTTAACCACTTCTAAACGACCGTACGCTACCGCTAATTCTAAAGCTGTTCTATTCTTTCCATCTTTAACGTCGATTCTTGCTTTTTGATCCAGTAAAAATTGCACGATATTACAGTGACCATTGGCTGCTGCCAAATGCAGAGGCGTACCATGTATAGACTTAGCATTGATTCGTGCTCCTCTTCTTATCAAGGTTTCGACGATTCCATCATATCCTTCGTATGCCGCGAGATGCAAAGGTGTCATACTAAACTTTCCATCAGCATTAACGTTAGCTGCTTGTGATATCAATCCATTTACTATCTCTTT